AATAAATAATTTAAAAATATTTAATCACATTATTATTTTTTGCTTTAGATTTTAGGATAACATATGAGCTTGACAGCCTTCGAGACATTCACACTTTAACAAGGCTGGACAAACATTTCCAAAAAAGTTGCAATAAGGACACCTTTTAAAAGAGGCTGCAAACTATATACAAAAATACAATATATATCATGTCAAAACATTTATTTTTTAGACTCTAGGATAAAATATGAGCCGGACATGTTCAGCGCAGCACAGAAAGCACTGAGCGGTGGCTGTCTGTAACTAACACACTGAGCATCTCTGCTCTTCACTTTAATCTACAGATGACAGAGTCGATAACGCCGTCAGTCATGCACAAACTAACAGACGTGACCGTCTCCGTCTCTGAGATCTCAATACTCGTCCAGCTCAGTGCTTCGGTCATGTGAAGAGACCCGTATTGATCTGAGCGTCCTCATATGACTCCCGTCTACAGTATCTATATCTTCAAACAACATTCGGTATCATGCTACCATCACTATTTCTGCAGTATACAGGTTTTATTCATTGCACACTCACTACATTTGCTAAAATGAGACGAATGCAACCAGATTACACTGCGCTGCCTGCTATTTCCCAAAATGCAATGTGCTAAACCTGATTTTCCATGACCTGTATAACAAATAAAGGTATATATATATATATATATATATATAGTTTTGTATTTAATATAAATATTTATTATTTGATTATAATGAATTAATCATAAAATGTTTAAATATATAACTTGTATGCATACACTACCATTTGAGGTCAATGATTACATTTTTTTTTTTATTTTTTATAAATTAATACTTTTATTCAGCAAGGACGCATTAAATTGATCCAAAGTGACAGTAAAGACATTTATAATGCTACAAAAGATTTCTATTTCAAAGAAATGCTGTTCTTTTGAACTTTCTATTCATCAAAGAATCCTAAAAAATAAAATGTATCACAGTTTCCACAAAAATAACATTGTTTTCAACATTGATAATAACCAGAAATGTTTCTTAAGCAGCAAATAATAATATTAGAATGATTTCTGAAGATCATGTGACACTGAAGACTGAAGTAATGATGCTGAAAATTC